TACAACAACCAAAATCGTCTGAGGATTCAATATACATGCCACATATTACATAAAGTTCATAGATACATTTCCCCATCAGAGTACGAATAAAAGTTATTACAAACCGAGTTTGGTAGATAAAAGCGGAAGCAAATTAAGTTTTAAAGTAACGTTTCCAACATAGTTTAATACAGTGCCAAGATACGATCACGGTCCACAAAAGCATGTAGAAGGATTAATAAGAAGCCTGCCCAAGGCTTACTCCTCATCCACAGCAGGATAGAAGCAACTCTTGCAATAACCATGATATACAGTGCCATCTGCAACATGGGAAATAAAACCCTGAGTACGAGAAGGTACTCAGCTAGACTTACCCGCCATAAACCAAAAATAAAATGACTCCAAGGATTATGCAAGGCTGTATAAGTGGAGATAGCTTGACAACATTTTGCATGAAAGCAAATGACTTACTGTACACTTAGGATTCCTTTATCAATTATTTATAACTATCCATCTCTAGATTAGCAACTATCCTGTGCCAAACATGTGGTATATCAATTGAGAAGCATACAATAGTAACCATAGCAGGTATTGTAATTCCATATTCATCCGAACCATCATGTTTCATAACACAGTTACTACGATGTTGGAGCAAGTCAAGTTTCTCATTATCCGGGAGAGACGGCGATTCGAATCGATTTCATGTAGTAGTCACTCATAGAGCTAGCTAGTGTAATCACCTGGAGCTTAAATGTTGGTTCATGAAATGTAACCATGAATAAGGTCCTATTTGCTACCCTAGTGTGGCTACATGTTTGTGTGACTCACATCCACCAAGTACATGTGTACACTCATGACCATATGCATAGATACATGGAGACATGAAATAACGAGAAAAGTTGCATATGTTTAAGAAACATGCGATAACAAGCAAACGTTGCAGATGTTTCAATCTAATGTTTCAAAGGTAATTGCTTGTTTATGAATGCTTGATGATCATGCTCATGTTATGCAATTCAAGTTATGCAAGGCTAACACCCGAGGTGTTACAGCCCCTCCCCCTTATAAAAATCTCGTCCCGAGATTTGGAAGACCTACCATTCTTGGAAAAAGGCGGGATAAACTTCTTGTAGATAATCTTCTCTTTCCCACGTAGCATCTTGTTCACTATGATTGTTCCACACCACCTTATAGAACTTAAAAATCTTACTCCGGGTTACTCTCTCCATCTCCTCTAATACTCGAATTGGCTTTTCTTCATAGGTCAAATCCGATTGAAGCTGCATGTTGGTGGGTGCAATAGCTTCTTTCGGTACTCGAAGACATTTCTTCAACTGAGAAACATGGAACACATCAAATATTGCACTCATTTCTGGTGGAAGTTGTAATTTATACGCAACATTTCCATTTCGTTCCAAAATTTTGTATGGCCCTACATATCTTGGTGAAAGCTTCTTTTTCATCCCAAATCTCTTCACACCTTTCATGGGTGATACTCTCAAATACATAGTCACCCACTTCAAAAGTTAGTGGTCTTCTTCTTCTGTCGGCATAACTCTTTTGTCTTGATTGAGCTGCCTTCATGTGTTGTTGGATGATACGTACTTGTTCTTTGGCTTTATTGACAAAGTCAATACCAAAGTATCTCCTTTCACCGGGCTCAATCCAATTCAATGGAGTTCTACATTTTCTGCCATACAAGGCTTCAAATGGAGCCATTTTGATACTCGCTTGATAACTGTTGTTATAGGAGAATTCAGCTAAAGGTAACCATTTCTCCCATGAACCCTTTGAAGATATAACACAAGCTCTAAGTAAATCTTCTAGGATTTGGTTCACTCGCTCTGTCTGTCCTGAAGTTTGCGGATGATATGCCGAACTTCTGATTAGCTTGGTTCCCAAAGCCTGGTGTAAGTGCTCCCAGAAATGAGCTATGAACTGTGGTCCTCGATCTGAGATTATAGTCCTGGGTACTCCATGCAGTCTCACGATCTGGGAAACATATAACTCAGAGTATTTCCCCACGTGATAGGTTGTGTGAACTGGTACAAAATGTGCTGACTTGGTGAGACGATCAACAATTATCCATATTGAATCGTGACCTTGTGGCGTCATTGGAAGGCCTGTGATAAAGTCCATGCTGATTTCCTCCCATTTCCATCCTGGAATAGGTAATGGCTGAAGTAATCCAGCAGTTTTCATATGGACAACTTTTACTCTACTGCAGTAATCACACCTAGCAACATAGGCTGCGATTTCTTTCTTCATCTTAGTCCACCAAAAACGGGTTTTCAAATCTTGATACATCTTACTACTACCCGGATGGATAGACAATTTGGACGAGTGAGCTTCCTCTAAAATTTGATTCCTTAGCTCACGGTCTTTTGGTACCACAAGGCGGCCCTCAAACCATAATACACCTCTTTCGTCCATTCTAAAATGCTTCGTCTCTTGCTCTTGCATTTTTCTCTTGATGTGACTTATTCCTATATCTGTCTGCTGCAACTCTATGATTTTGCTCTCAAGTGAACAACTGATCGTGATATTGTGTAGTACAACAGGATGTAACAAGTTGAATCTATCTTCCAGTAATGCTTCTATAGTGTTGCAATGAGACTTCTGACTCAGTGCATCTGCTACTACATTAGCCTTACCCGGATGGTAGTGCACTTCTAAATTGTAGTCCTTAATTAGCTCTAACCATCTTCGTTGTCTCATGTTCGGTTCTGGTGGGTAAAGATATACTTGAGACTTTTGTGGTCGATATAGATATGACATACATTGCCCAACAAGTAATGTCTCCATATCTTTAACGCATGAACAACAGTACAAGTTCCAAATCATGTGTAGGGTAGTTAACTTCATGTTTCCTCAATTGCCGAGAAGCATATGCAATTACTCTTCCTTCTTGCATAAGCACACATCCCAAACCTATTCCTGATGCATCACAAAATACATCGAAAGGCTTTTCAATGTCGGGTTGTGCTAGCACAGGTGCGATAGTCAACAAAGTTCTGAGGGTGTGAAAAGCTGCTTCACATTCTGGTGTCCATTTATACTTCTCATCTTTCTGAAGTAGTCTGGTCATGGGCTTAGCTATCTTTGAGAAATCTGGAATGAAACGACGATAATACCACCTTAACCCTAGAAAACTCCGAACTTCATGAACCGAAGTTGGGGCTTTCCAATCCATGACCTCTTGTACTTTTGATGGGTCTCTGAAAATTCCATCTCTTGATAAGATGTGACCTAAGAAAGGTACCTTGCTCAACCAAAATTCACATTTGCTAAACTTGGCATATAGCTTATGCTTCCTCAATCTGGATAGGACAATCCTCGATGCTCTTCATGATCGACTCATTTTACGAATAAATCAATATATCATCGATAAACACGACCATGAACTTGTCGAGTTCGGGCATGAATACCGAGTTCATCAATACATGAAGTAAGTTGGAGCATTTGTTAGTCAAAAGACATAACCAAATACTCGTATAAGCGATTACCTAGTAGAAAAGCGCTTTTAGGGTATATCCTCTGGCGGGATCTTTATTTGATGGTAGCGACCTCAAGTCAATTTTGGAGAATACCTTTGCCTTCGCTAGCTGATCGAACAAGATGTCGATGCGAGGCAATGGATATTTGTTCTTGATGGTCACAGCATTGAGTGGTCTATAATCTACACACATTCTCAGTGACTTATCCTTCTTTTTCACAAATAAGGCTGGACATCCCTATAGAGATGAGCTAGGTTGAATAAGACCTTTGTCCAATAGATCTTGCAATTGAACCTTAAGTTCTGCTAACTCATTGGGTGGCATTCTATAGGGCCTTCTTGATATGGGTGTTGTACCTGGCACTAACTCAATCTTGAATTCCACCTCCCTATCAGGTGGTAAGCCTGGTAATTCCTCTGGAAATACATCCGGAAACTCACAAACTACGGGGATATCACTAAGTGTGGTGGCTTGGATAGCACAAGCTAAATGTTGAAGTTCAAAATTGCGGGAGAGTGGTACTAGAAAAGCATTCCCTCCCGTGGGTTCTCTCAACATAATGGTATGGGTGCTAGTGTCAATAAGAACACCATGATCCTTCATCCAATTCATGCCTAAGATTACACTTATCGATAACCCGGGCAATATTATCAAATCCGTCGTGTACTCCCTCCCTTGTATAGAGATGAGTACATTTTTTACTATCTTTTTGGTAGTAACAGTACCCCCTGCTGAACTTATGTTATAACCCCCTTTACTTACTTCAATTATTTCTTGATCATGTCTAGATGCAAATGTTTGACTCATAAAGGAATGAGAAGCTCCCGAATCAAATAAAACAACAGTGGGATGCTTGTTGACAAGAAACATACCAGCCGTGACAACTTCTCCAGCTGGCACTTCTTCCACAGCGGTATAATGCACGTGTCCCTGACGTGCCCTGGCATTCGCCTGTCTCTGATTGTTCTGGTTCTGGTTGCTATTCTTCTTAGGGTGGGGGCATTCCTTAGACCAATGACCCAGTTGGTTGTAGTTGAAACATGGTTGATTACTTCTGAATCCGGTAGAGCTGTCCTGACTGCCATTTCCTTTTGGTAAGGCAATAGTGAACGCCTTACGGAATGGTTTCTGCGGCCTATTATTCTGAGCTTTAGGTGGTGGAGGCCTAAACTTAGGTGTAGGTGGACGGAATTGTGGCCTAGCTGTGATAGGCGCTTTTGACTGGAAGGATCCGG